TTATAACAGAAATGTGTTTCCTGTGAAGTGGATTTGTTTAAAATGTTTATAATAATAATAACATAATCCGTAATTCCATCAGGAGCATAAGTCGTCCTACAAAATTTTCATTTGTCTCGATCCGACGCTAACAACAAATTTGGTGTCCGGCTTCTTCTTGTAGACTGATTGAAAACTGTTCTAAATTCGGAGTGGACGTGTAGTTGGCCTGACGCAACCTAGCCTGAGGTGGGGCCCCTTGGACCCCTGTTTATAAGAAGTTCAAGCTTTATAATACAACAAATATATATTACTGATACGTGATACAAATTGTCCGTAATCAATGTACTCTTGTTTTAGACGTGCAATTCAGATTAACAATGAAGTGACAGCACATACATTAGGGAATCTACCGTAATGTATGGTTCTCCCCGGCGCTAGCTAGAAGTCAGTTTGCTTCCGGAAAATACTGCGACAGGCCAACCCGACATAGGATTTCTTGGTTTTCTTCTGTCTTTAAGCAAATGCTGAGATGGTTTCAAAACCCAAACTTGGCACTGCATACTTCTCATGCAGCCCTCCATATTGAAAATCATAAACATTAATGCCTTTTGCTGTCAAAGCAGCAGTCTTTTTACGTATTAAACAACTGATCAACGTGTGAGGTGTAAGGTTCTCACAGCGGCGGTTATGAAATATTCTATCCACTGGGATATAACGCCGTGTAGTCCGGTGAAAGTCAACTGACATTTCTGAGGAACATATAGCCTCCATCTTCAGCGTAAAAGACTGAGTTGGAAGGGGAAATATGATATATGCTGTTGGAAAGGAAGCGTCTGGAATGAGGGTATGAACCCACCAGTCTGATTTCAAATGCTTCTTTCTCTTATGTATTTTGTACACATCTCTGGGTACATGTCTTTTATAACAAACAATATGGCAGCAAGAGGCGCCAGTATTACGTAAATATAAACAAAAATGCTCTATTCATGCATTCTGAACTCCAAGTCTGAATGCCAGCCTTACAAGACCAAGAGAGAATAAGGTAAATGCCGCAACGCCTGCTGAAGTTGTTTAGATTGCTCCGCTCAGCTCGCGAGTCGCAGTTGTTGCCGAGCAGCACGGCGTTCCCATTGCCTTCTCCACAGTGTGTCTCGCAAATGAGACCTAACCCGAAATTTCGGCAAGCCGATTGTTGTGCTGGCCACCTCCTTTCAATCTCATTTGTTTCTCGGCATGTTCTTCATCCCTGTAGATGGAGGCAAAATGTTCCTCCGAAACATCGATTACTTTCAGCAGACTACACGGAGTTATATCCCAGAAGATTGAGTTCTTCATAACCACCGCTGTGAGAACCTCAGATCCTACATAACAGTATTAGCATCTGTCGTATACAAATTAATCATATCAATAAAAGTAAAGTTGTCCCTGCGCTTAACGAATTAAGCACTACTCTATGAAGGCGTATGGGGAAATGGGTGCATAGGTGCACATTTTCTTGTCCTCGGCATTAGCTTGAGTTGAGTGGTCAGCTTCATGCCCCTGACGCTTTGCCCCACAGCCGGTCTGGACGGCGTGGAGAAAAGAAAATTCGTGACCCTCCCGGTAGTCGAACTCCGACCCCTCCTTCGTCCAGCCCATAGTTAGTCGCTATACCGACTGAGCTATCCCGACTTCAATCATATCAGTACATAACCTAATAAATTTAATGGAAATATGAAAATAATTAAACATTCAGAACAAACGTTATTAATGTTTTGGTGTTCTGGATAGCCGATACCCTAAGAAAGGGGCAACAAGTTCCTGCAAAACATTGGGAAGCACAGAGGACGCTGCATGGTAACCACGAATATGGTAATATGAACGACCCAGATCAATGGGGAAGCACTATCGCTTTACACTTATATTTCGAGGTCCACTGCTCGAATTTCGACTGGGACTCGACTATTTTGACGAAGGGATTTCGTGGTCTTGTCAGACCCTCCAGGAAAATTACCAGGATAATACTTCGATTATGTCACAGCCGCTTCCTTCCAGATCCTTTCCAATTCATTAACCACTCTCTCACCCGGTGCAATATATTGCCGATATTGGCAACAGCATTAAATATCCAAATAAAACACGTGATCATAAACCATTCTGGCATAAGTTATGTAAAGTAAATTTGTTTTAATTTTAAAGAATTATTATGTCATCATCCGCTATTTCGCATACAGTATTATGATATGTAAATGCATTACCAATTAACAGCTGTGTAAACAGGCGACAATACGACAGCTGTTGTTAGGAAACTTTCCTCGGCAACGACAAAACATGCAGTATTGGAAGAAACCTTTTCTATACGGTCCCTTCTGGGCTCTATAACGGGGACTAGTAGTACGTTTGTGGTTGAATCATTTGACAGTTGCAGTTCTGAGAAGCGAGAAGCTGGTAACGGAGGCCAGAGATAGTTCGAGAATCCAGAAGAAGAGAAACATACGCTGTTGGAAGCCGCTATGAAGCAACGGCTAGTAAATACTGAGAATAATTTATGTGTGATGTAGTGACAGTAACCTTTGGAGTGTGTAACTCAGTGGAACTGCAGTAATTATTTGTACGCGTAGTTACGAGTGTGTCCAGCAGGTCCGAGTAGCAAACCTATCGCCATCCACAACTTCAAGAACCCCCCTGCCATGGTGATAAACAATCCACTTATGTAATTTAATAAAGTTTCTGTTAAATGAACCCGAAGGTTCCACATAGATATCAGAAGATTCTGAAATTATTTAAGATCCTGATCCAGTTGCGGCCATTTTATATCCATTCAATCCTAATCGCTAAGATACATCTTAATGTTATCCCTGCATGTCATTCATTCTTAAAACTGTACACTTTCCGACAGATTTCAATGTCAAAATTTTGCTCTGCACTTCTGTGTCTACTCCACTTCTTTCCCATTGTAAGCTCCTAAACTTCATTATCCTGGGTGATTTGTAGAAATCCGAAGATTCCGTGCTACGATTTGGACGACTTGGGAATTAGGATTCGAAGCCCGTCTAGCAGGATGCAGAGTCACGCAGCTATTAGACTGACCCTGGGGGGGGGGCTTTTTCCCCGGGATAGACCAGCCAGACCGTGAAGCTGACCACTCACCACCAACTAATTTACTTACTTACTTAATCCGTTCTTCTTATACTTTTACCGTGTCGAGGTTGTTTCTTTTTCCATTTTGATCATTTTACAGACGGTAGGACTCATTGGACGAGTGATCAGCCCGTCGCAAGGCCTCTACCTAAACACAGAATAAACACACATTTACCAGACATCCATGCCTTAGACCGCTCGGCTACCCTGACTGGCCCACCAACTAATGCCGAGACTGAATTCGCGTTGAAATGTGTCTTCTCTACTCCAACGATTATAATGTTGTGATATTTAATTAAGCACAGGAAGAGTCTGTGTAGCGACTAGTTACGTGCTGGATTACCAAGGGGTCGGGGTTCGAGTCTCGATGGGAGCAAGAATTTGCACTTATCCATGTCTTCCAGACCGGCTTTGGGGCCCGCCAAGCCTACTATCCGATTGGTATGGGGTGGGTCTGTCCCGGGGGTGAAGAGGCCGGGGCGTGAAGCTGACCACTCACTCCCAACTAGGGCTGAGGTGAAGAAAGCGAGGACCTATAAATCCACTCCTCCATACGCCTTCATGGCGTAGTGCTTAATTAGTTAGGCACAGAAACATCTCTTTTTCCCCTTGACACTACAGCCCCAGTGGGTCTAGGCCTACCTCCATTAACTCCGTTCACTTCGGTTTTTCTAGATCTTACACATTCGGTAGGACTCCTTGGGCGGGTGATCAGCTCGTCGCAAGGCCTCTACCTGTACACACACACACAAACTAAACATCCATGCCCTGAGTGGGATTCGAATCCATGATCCAGGTTTCCAAGCGAGCGAAGACAGTACATGCCTTAGACCGCTCGGCTACCGTGACCGGCTACAGGAACATCTTTACCTTTACATTTTCATTTTTATTTTTATCCTTATTTATATTAGTTTCCCAGGATACAAAGCTAATGGCAAAATTTTATATAAAGTATTTCCCGAAGAAACAAACCTCCCGACTCTTATGGTTTCTTAGCTGAAACCTTGAAGTCACCGTCCGAGAAATGGCATATTCCGCTCGCAGTCGGCCCTTCGAGAAAGGCGCTGTACACGTGAGGAATTTATTGACCTATTGATCTTAATATCACGTCAAGAAGACCTACGCTACATGTACTTAATTGTTCAAAGATTTGGTGTCCTGAGAAATATGAATCTTTTTAACCGAACAAAATGTTCGCAAAATTATTGTCGTCCTTAATTCCCAATGTTTCTTTTAGTAAATAAATAAAAACCCCATGTGGATGTGGTTTAGAATGCCTCTACCGTAATCCTGGGAGTTTTAGAAGGCGAAAAAGGTAAGAACCCGATACTTGGGCCACCCTGTTACAGGGGTGCCTACACACCGGGACTTGTTCCTCCAGGTTGGGAATTGGATGCAAGGTTGACGACCTTGCCCTGTAAATGAATTAAAGGTAAATTTATAGCTGTTCGTTTACATAACTAATTAAGCACTATGTCATGAAGGCGTATGGGGGAGTGGATGTATAGATCCATGTTTTCTTGACCTCGGCACTAGTTGGAGGTCAGTGATCAGCTTCACTACCCGGCCGCTTTACTCCTGGGGAAACAGCCCTCGGTATCCATTGGATAGGAGGCTGGTTGGGCCCCAGAGCCTGTCTGGACGGCGTAGAGAAAAGAAAATTCTTGTCACTACCAGGACCTGAGCTACGACTCCTCGATTGTCGAGCCTGTAGCCAGTCGCTATACCGACTGAGCTATCCTGGCTCCCACTGTAAAGAACTGTTACGAAAACTAAAGAAGTGAAAACCAGATAACATATGGCAGATATTCTGAGGAAGGTTGTGGCTTGATGATGATAATGAAATAAATGAAATGTTTCGAAGTACCAGACTAAGTCATTCTGTTTTTCTGTGGCAGGTGGAGACGATAGGAGACGCGTACTGTGTCGCTTGCGGCCTGCACAAACCCAGTTCCACGCATGCTCAACAATGCGCGTGGATGGCGCTCAAGATGATCGAAACATGCGCCACTCATCACACACATGACGGGAAACCCATCAAGGTGAGTCAAGCATTGGGAGAACCCCCAGCTTACAAGCTATATCACTGACATATGCTGTAATCCAGAACCGAGATATCGCTCTCTAGCTATAGCGCCTGGATACAGGCTGGACAACCTAAGGGTAGGAATTCAAGTCACGGTAGAGGCTCGACGTCCACATCGGTTTCGGGGCCCACCCAGCATCCTATACAATGGGTACCAGGGGCTTTCTCTTAATGGTTAAAGCGGTCGGGACGTAAAGCTAACCATTCACCTCCAGCTGGTGCCTGGGTCAGGAGTACCCGGATCTATGCATCCACTCCCCCACACGTTCTCATTGTATAGTGCTTAATTAGTTAAGCACATGCACAACTTTGCCTTTTTATGCCATAATCACGTAGTGTTCTAAAATTACAGGGCTATTGTAAAGTATTGTCGGGGTTTCCGTTTCCTATAATTTTCAAACCAGGAACAACAACACAAAACTACTTACGGAATATGGGAGTGCAAATTAAAACGTTTTATTACTTGTAAAGAAAATACTGCAGAATTCTAAAGAATTTCAACATGCGCGCTTTCGTGACACGTAAGATGTCCAAATTGTAGGTCAAGGAAATCCCGACAATAATTTAGAATCACATTGTATTTCGTTACCGTCTGTTCATAGAAAGATAAAATGCCTGAAGAATTTGACGCTGCGTTCATGCGATTATTTTTTTAACGTTTCATTCAGGTCTTCGTGTTTTCGATTACCTGTCATATGGCAGGTTAATATGACTGAATGTAATTTTCCTATGGCTCCCTCTAAGCGCGTGATGGGATAGTATCTTTAATAAAGTTATTAATGCGTTTTCCCTCACATTTTCTCATTCACCATTCATAATCACCTTCCCATACAACGCTGTATATCCTACGCCAAATACACTAAGTAACATTGCAGTCTTTCTCTGCGTTCAAATGGACATTTCGATCTGTCTTCGGAAATGTATTATTTTATTATTTATACTTCACTTTGCGATATTCTGGGGCCCCAAAGCAGTGACTATATAGATAACTGTATTCCAGGATGTGTCACTATGTAGTCTGATAGATATTACTGACGTTTCGGGGGATGCCTCCATCTTCAGGGTAGAATAAGCTGATCGTGGGGGTAAATTGAATGAACGTATTGAGGGGCTGCTGTAGGAGTCGTGAGAAAACAGGAGAAATAATGAGAACTGTTAACGCATCTGTAGTTCTAGTACGGACTATTCATAATTTAAAATGTAAGCAACTCCTCCTTCTTCAAGGTAGAAAAGTAAGCTGAACATGGGAAACATTTATCTTTCCACCCTTCCCAGGCTGTTTATGGTCACTTTTTCTTTATTTCATCCCTCCTTATCCGAGTAAGGTCCATTGGTCACTCAGAATCTTTCTTTCGATGTCTCTTTACTCTGGACAGAACTTTCCTTACAGGGGTTGAGAGTCCTTCGGTTTTCTTCTTTCTCCTGTTCAATCACTCAGGGTTCCTACCCCGGCCATCGCCTTTCCTACATCCCTATATTCGATTCACCCTCGTGCCCTAAAAACTGACGTAACACGTTGCTCCAAATCGTCCACCACTATCTACCGGGCTCCATGGCGTCAGATCTCAGAAGACAGTCAAACCCTTTAAAGTCCAATGGTCGCTATATCTACCCCTAACTTTAACATACTATAATTCTTCATTCTTCCCACAGAGTGTATTTATGTGTCCCACATGATTCTCACAAGAAACAGCTGCTCTTCCCTTAACAGCATTAACCGGCTGTGTTTCCTGTGAGGTACGGACTGAATTTTTATATATTGTTTTAGAAGATATTCAGTCGCAACGGAATTTCAGCAGATCATGACACAGTTCAATGGGACCGAATCAGAAGAAGACAGAGTAATGGCTATCACAAAAATTATATTAACACTTATACAGCAAAATGGCCGCTAGAGTTCATATGCGGTAAATGTGACTGCCCTGGCGAGGACCAGCATCAATTGTAAAAGATAGATTCGTCCTCTCGTTAGAGAGGGCGACCATATCAACAAACCCACAACTGTCCGGCAGTAATAAAAATCTGCTCTTGGGCCCCAGATTGGTGCTTGACACCAGGAGAGACTGGCCTACTGACCGTCGGTCGTAATATATAACTTTGATTTTGATTCTGATAGTCTTTGAATTGTTAAAAACTACCCTTTAAAATTTGTTCTTGTATATTATCCATTCTCTTGCTATATATATGGCTTTGTCGTCGTGAGCTAAGAGCATATGTCACAATCTAAATGCTTGTTAAAATATCAGAGTGTGTCTCATACATTATGTGGCCATAAATTTCAACATCATCATAAATACAGAATGCTCGACAAATGATGTATTAGTACTTTCGGAATATTACACTGAGTTGACACAACCTTTAGAGAGGGTTGTAACCACCTTAAATGCATTGTTCATGTAAAACAGAAATGTGCTTGTGACACTGGATATATATTACCAATGTTTACGTCTAAATTTTGGGGGCATTGCTGGCTGGCTGACAAGAGAGAGTTGTTTCAGAATCACCATCTGCTCTACAGTACAGTGCACATGGTATAGGGTTTATCAGAAGCAGATTATATACAGCTACCAATAGAGTTACCACGTTCTACAGATTAATGGCTTTTGTAGAGCCTCATATCTCCATTTTCAAAGAGTTTCCGAGCGTTCAATAAATTTTAATTTAAACATTTATGGCATAAAAGTTAATAATTTAATAAATAATTTGTAAAATTTTTCAGACCCATAGATTTTGTCTTGCAAGGTTATTTGGAAATCCTTACCGTAAATAAATTTGGAAACAACTGCTGAAAAGAACAACTTCACAGAGCAGAGATCTTCTTGAGAAGTGAGTGGCCTCAATAGAAATTAACCGAGAAGGAACATCAGAACTAGTACCTAAAGCCGCTATATACTGATTCAACACTTCCATTCCATAATCGAGAGATCTAGAGCTCGAATCCTGGCCCTGAGATAGGCTGTCCAGACCTAAATTTTCCATTCTTTTCTCTCGTCACTCTGTACATAATTTTTTTTCCTGGCACTACAGCCCCAGTGGGCCTAGGCCTACATCTACTTCGGTTTTTCTAGATCTTACACATTCGGTAGGACTCCTTGGGCGGGTGATCAGCTCGCCGCAAGGCCTCTACCTGTACCCAAACACAGAAAAACGCACACAAACATCCATGCCCTGAGTGCGATTCGAACCCACGATCTCGGCTTCCGAGCGAGCGAAGACAGTGCATGCCTAGGACCGCTCGGTTACCGTGACCGGCCTGTCCATCATTATCATCGCAATTACGAACATCCTCCTTCCTTGCCTTCCCCCTCATGGACTCATACGTGTATCAGCGTTAGTAAGGTCTGCACAGAGATCTTCACCATCAGTAGGTCTCGAATGGGAAGTGTGGGCATTCGAGTAATATGTTTCCTTTTATAGTTAAAAAAAGCTAACGCTATCCCTATAACAGGCCTTGGAGGCCCATAGGGCTGTGAGACGTCGAAGCTCCAACATTTGATAGATAGTCGGTTCACAGATGGCATTGTGGTTGTCAGTTTTATGTGGCGGCCGACCTTCACCCCCAGGAACATTCCCGGTACTCACTTCTATAAGAGGCTGAGTCGACCGCAGGGTCATAGTGCGGCTGGAAGAATTGGGTCAATAGAACGATCCAGTGACCTCATCGGGAATCGAAACCTCGACCTTCCGACTTGTAGTATAGTGCCTCAACCAACTACGCTACCGCGTGCCCCTTTGTTTACGTATTTTCTCCACCAATTACGAGTATGTGATGGGTTTATTCACTACATTAAAATGCCGGGGTATTTGTTTCAGTATGTCATTATCTATTGCCTGCATATTCTTTCTGATTCGGCCTTCCATCATTTTAAAACTCGATGCTCGTACATAAAATGTTTAGTTGATAGAACATGACAGTTAAGGGGCTAGAGTATCAGTAGCACAAACTGAGAATTCATGTAAAATATGGCGAAATATTTTTATAATCAATTTCAGTAAAATTATTTTTAGAGAACATTCAGCGCTATGAAAGCAATGAAATGTATACATCGTCATTTAGAAAGCGAAGCATAATCACGTGATTGGGATACCACCATTGCTAACATGATTTCCGTTACTTATTCGAGAAATTTTCAAATCCCAACCACCTCCTTCAGAATCCTCACCTATTCAATATTTATCACTTTCCAGTCAAATTTAATGTTACGTAAAGTTTTAGCTGAAATAGCGCCGATAATTTAACCCAGTAAATAATCGACTAATTAAGTAGAAACATATCTGTCTGTCTATCTATCTATCTATCTATCTATAACTCTACAGCCATTTTTTTAACCTTGGACGTTTTTTCAGTTTCCTGATCTTTTATACAGTTAGTGAGGCACATGGTAGCATAGTTTGTTGAGGCATTATGCTACAATCAGGAAGGTCGCGGGTTCGAGTGCCAATCAGATTGACTTTTCAATTTACATAATCCGTACACCCCGCACTGTAGTCTTGTATCTTCTCAGCCTATAACAGAAATGAGTGCCAGGATATTCCTGGGGGTAAACGGCGGTCAGTGTGTAAGGCTGGCAACCTTACCTCCATCTGTGAGTCGATTGTCTAGAAAATGTTGCAGCCTCGACGTCTCACAACCTTATTGACCTTCACGACCTGTTACAGGAATAGCTTTTCCTTACCTTACACAGATATCCATGCCTTGAGTGGAATTCGAGCCCATGATCCCAATGTTTGAGCGGGCGAAGAGAGTTCATGCCTTAGACCGCGTGGCGGTGACTGTGACTATGACTGTGACCGGCTGACTTGAAATAACGTAGATAATTAACTCAATAATTAATCGATTAATTATGTAGAAATACTTTTCTATATTCCAGTTTCTCCGTACGCTGGAAAAGAAGGAAACTAAAGTAGGGTACAAGCAGATTTTTTTCGTGCTTAATTAAGCCTTAGACCATAACA